CCAAAGCTGTAGCTGTGCTGGGGCCTGCGGCAAAATTGTTTTTGGTTTTTGCTCAGCTGCGGCTTTTGACTTTAGGCGTAACCTTATGCCATGTGCCTGGCGCATTTCTTTTTTTATTTATATCATATTTTTGCTCGCTTTCTTTTTTTTAGAAATTTATTTATCAACGCTTTTTGTATTTCCGCCGCTGCTGCTGCTGCTGTTTGTTCCGCGGGCCGTTTGTTTTTGTTAAATTTCATATACTTCCTCATTTTTAATTTATGACAATGGCCTGGCTATTGTTGTCGGTCGGCCACGCCCACATCGCGCGCACAGTGTTATTGTAACTGATGCTCTTATAAATGGCCGCAGCCAGTGCTGCCCGCTCCGGCCCCGGCACCGTGGACCCTCCGACAACAACAATTCGTTTGGCGCTTTTATCGCAGCGGTGCGACAGACAGCTCCGGTCAGAGGCGGTTTTTGGCGTAGCTTGGGCTGGCAGGGGTAGGGGGCGTGGTTCGCTGAGGTCACTGTGCCTGCCTGCACGGAACGTGTACACTTTGTATATCCTGTGGCCGCCATTGTCCTTGACTGTTTCATTATGACAGCTGTGCGCTGCTGGCGCTGTCTGTGTACCAGTTCCCGTTCCCGTTCCTGTTCCCCTTCCCGTTCCCGTTCCCCTTCCCCTTGCCATTTCCCTTGCCATTCCTGTGCCCGCTCCTCATGGCATTTTCGTTGATTTTGGTTTTGTTTAGTGGCGCATTTATGCTATTTAAGTGTCATGTTTTCCCTCCGCCTCGCTCACTCCATCTGTCGCTCACTTATTGTTGCTCTGCGGTGACTAAAACAAAAGCCAAGTGTTGGCATTATTATTATTATTATCAACGCGCTTCCTTTTCCGCAGCCAGCGAACAAAAGCAACGCGACAAGATAAAATGCTGCCATTCATGCTCTTGAGTGATTTTAACTGAATTTCATTGGATTATTTTCCTGCATTCCCTATCTATGCTCTACGTCTCCCTTTTATCTCTGTATATATATATTTGTACATCTCTTGGCTTCATGCACAAACTTTAATTCCCTTTGTTCTGGGCTAAAGGATTTGCCTGGAATGGGGCCAATCGATTGAGTGCCTGAAAGCTGATGTCAATCAATCCACACAATTGACAGTAATTAAGTTGCTTTGTCAGTACAGTACATTACAGTACTTATTGCATTTGTTCAACAATAATCTCTCGTTGGCTGCCAGGCAAATACAAACTAAGATTTGTATGCACAGCTTGACTCAATCGAATCTCAATTGTCTTTTAGATCAAGTTAAAACTTTTAACTAGTTTTTAAGATATGCGTGTATGCAAATGTGTTAATATGTTCTATTCAATTCGAGCTGGAGTATGTTCAAAAAATATTTTGATTATCAAAAAAGATGACTTAATATGTATTGAATACATTTTATTGATTGGTTTTATCAAAGTTTTTTTTATTTTTATTTAAATTGTTAAAGTTTTTAAGGAGAAAATTTATATATTTTATATTTATTTACTTATTTCAATTATAAATCAAATAATTAAAAGCTCTTAGAGGTATTCTTTGCTATAATTCGAAACAGGAATTAAGCGTCTAATGTTTATAGCAGCCAAAGTAGGCATGATTGAGCCTATGCAGCAGTCAGATTCTTTGATCTGAGTCATTGTCCAGGTCGATCTACCTCATTCATTTGTCTGATCAAATTTTTTGCTTGCCACTTTATTTATCTATGATTATGTATAAACTCTTCGAACTCTTAATCTAAAAGATTTACAAAGCTGTAGTTATATATTCTCTTCTATAACAAAGGCAATTTTATTTTAAATAAAAAAAAGCACAAATATATGAAATTTAAATTTTACTAGTCACAGCTTATAATAAAATTCTAATAAAATAAAATAATAAAATTCTTCCAAACTAAAATCCAATATACAGACTTCACATTTCATAAACCTACTCTAGAGACTTCGATAAATTGCCTTGGTAGGGGTATTTCTGAGTCGCGCATTCCCGACTTGCACGCTCTTTATTTCATTCTGAGCTCTATAATTCTCTAGCTAATTGCTAACTAAACTGTTAAAGGTTAGCTTAGCATCAAATTCAACAAAAAGCATCACAAATAGTTGTCAATATAAATCACTTGACTCGCTGCATCAGATATGAATGATTAGCGAATTGATTATGAATGAGTAATGAAAAACGGCAGCTTAATCAATTACTTTGCACAAATCGCATAAGCCAGCAGATTTGAGCCATGCTCAGCAATAAGTCTGAATTATGTATTTATTTAATTGAAAATGAATTCTCATCGGCTGCACTGCTGACGCGGCGCAATATACGCTGATAAATGGCGCATCTTGGGCAATATATTTGCACATTTGGTGCGTTATTAAAAGTCGCATCAATGCAGATTTATGTTTACGATATTGCGGCAGCTCCTCGAGTTGGTGGCAAGACGTGAGCGCGCAGCGCCTTCGATTGCCCATATAAATATGCAATTATTTTGCATTTGCCAGCAGCAGCTCGTGCTTTTATTTGCTTGGCGGTCATACGCCATGTTGGCCCTGTTTATGACACTCGCGACTTTTGGGCGACAGCAAAGAGCAAATTGACTTTTACACACACACACGAAGATGCCTCGTGTGGCACTGACATGTGGCATTGGGGTCGGGGGTGCAACCGCATTTATTTGTTGACATATTTATATTTATGCGCATAATTTGCATTTGACATATATTTATATATAAATCTACTTTTTTTATGCTCTCGCCCGCACAGCGCGCATAAATATATATCAAATTGCTGTGCATAGAGACATATGTGCAAAGCCCCAAAGTATGCAGCTTAGCATAATAAAACACATGAAATTGATTTAGACAAATGCATTTGCTTTCTCTATGAATACGAAGAGGAAATCTGAAGTGCGACAATTCTCATCGAAAGAGTTCTTTAAAATGTCTGTTACAAGTTATATTTCAATGATATCTTTTCTATTTTATTCGAAGTTTTCAGTTGGTTTTTATAACTCCTAACTAGTGCAATAAATGAAGTGACATTAAAACGAATTTTTATATAGTTTTATATGTGAAAAAATTACGAGTTGAATGTAAAAATATTAATATTATTACTTTTATAACTTGTAAGTAATAAATCTCCATATTATATCTGTATGCACATCCAATTTGGACAGTGGCAAGCATCATTTTGCTCGCAATCAAGGATTTGGCTATAGCCTTTCTATGCGATTCTCACAGACTTTTATAGCACAAGTGAATATGGAAAATATGTATACTTTTTTTTGTTATTTTCTTTGACTTTTTTCTTTATTCCTACCATCACTGATTTCATGTGCATTTTGACTTCATCATATTTTTTTTCTCTCTCTCTCTCTCTTTCTCTCTCTTGTTCACTGCCTGCCTGTCTCTTTGACAGTTAGTCTTTACCGATTTTCTATGGTTACTCTCTCTCTCTTTCTCTCTCTGTCTCTCTCTCTTTATTTCTTCAACTAAGTCTCACATTCCTTTTATATTTCTATCTGGCTCTCTCCTCTATTCTCTGTCTTTTTCCCTCTGCGTTTCTATTTCTCTGTGTCCGTTTCTCTTTTCTGTTTTTCTCTCTCTCTTTCTTTCTCTCTTTCTCTCTCTGTCTCTCTCTCTCTCTTTTTCTCTCTCTCTCTCCCTTTCTTTCTCTCTCTCTTTCTTTCTCTCTCTCTCTCTCTCTCCCTCTTTCTCTCTCTCTCTCTCTGTCTCCCTCTCTCTCTCCCTCTCTCTCTTTGATTATCTGTTTTCCTGTCTCTTTATCCCTTTGTGCTTGAGTTTTTCTTTCTCTTCTTTTCTATCCCAATCTTTCTTTCAGTCCCTCTCATTCTCTCCATCTCCTTGTCTTTCATTCTTAGTCTATCTGTATGTTCACTTCTGTTTGCTTCTTTGTCTATGCCTTTGTCTTTTTTTTTTTTAATTCGTAGTTCTCTCTATGTGTGTCTTTCTGCCTCTCTGTCTCTTAGTTTCTTTGGCGTTCCCTTGACTCTCATTTTCACTCTCTTCTTCTATATGTATTTCTGCCGCTCTCTGTCTTTTTGTTTTTTTTTTTTTATTCTCTTTGTGTTTCAATCGCTGTCACTTTCTCTTAGCCTCACTCTCTTTATATTTTTTATTCCTTCTTTTGTCTCCTCTTTTCATGCTTTTTTCTTGGATGAAGCTCTTCTATCAATCGATCTTTGCCCCATATTGTCTTGCTGTAATGATGCTCAGTATGATAGCAGTTGCCATCAACTATCAACTATTTGAGGATATATATATATATATATATTTATGTATATAATATGTATAATAACATTGGCAAATTTGAATAGCCGGATATGGCTCTACGACTATCATAAGTAGTTGAATGGATTTACATATAAAATAAAACATATCGAAGCAAAGAGCGAATGCTCTGTGCGTGTGCGTATGTGTGTGTGTGTGCGTGTAGGCTTAAGTATTTATTATGTATTCTGATTCTGTATGCACTTTGTCTTTAATGTATTACAAATTGAAATGCATTGTCAAATTGTGAGTCATGTTTTCACACAGGGCAAGCATTTATTTGCTTGTTGTTGTTGATGTTGTTGTTGCTGTTGTCGCTGCCTTTTGTGGCAGCGATAAGCTTTTTGCATAACCATATCGCATTTTATTTGTCTGCCTAGCAGCAGCAGCAGCAGCAGCAGCAAGAAAATATTTGTTCATTTAAGATAAATTTATGACTGTTGTCGATGCAAATTGTTGCATTTATTGAATTGTTGCTGCCGCTGCTGCCAATGCTCGTAAATAGTTGTGCAAATAAATTGAGAGCGCATATAAATCGCGGCTCGTATGATAGGTGTGCGTATCTGACATTTGTGAAAGGCACACACACACTCGCACACACACATAAAAACGTGCTTAATCACGTGCATAAATATTTGAAAATGAAATTGAAACCCCTCCTTAGTTGCTGCCCCCGTTTGCACTACTTACCATGCAACATGATGCTGACTAGCAGCAGCAGCGCCGACATCGATGCTGGCGCTGGCTGTGTCTCTGGCGGGTGGCTCATTCTCAAATCCTTTCCAATTTCGTATGTAATCCTGCGCAGCTACTAGTTTAATAGCGTCTTTAGCTGCTGCTGCTGCTGCTGCTGTTGACGTTGTCCTTTGGGCGCATTAAGCGGAAACGCTTTTACATTGCCGCGATAACAAACGGAAATGCGCGCCTGCCACAAAAGGAGGCGCAGGATGCGCAGCAGTTGGCTGCCAGTTTGCCTGCTGCTAAATGCTCCGGTTGCCCAGCTACTCCACTTCTCACTCTCTTCTCTCCACTTTTTTATTGTTTTTTATGTCTTTTTTATGATTCTTGTCTGTGTGAGGCGCCTTGTCTTGTCAAGTCGCTGCTGCTGATAATATTTATGCCTTGCTGCCAGCTCTTTAAGCACTCGCCTCGACGCTATGCTAATTGTATTAAAGGTTTGTCGAATTAAATTTTTCCCAGCTCACTGTCAGAATTCTCGTTCAAGATTTATGGCTGTCTGGTGCTACAGCTGCTGCTGCTTCTATTTCTGCGAGAATTTATATGCGTCGCCTCGACTTACAGACATTGGCAAAGACCTGCTTTAGCATTGGCTTAGAGTTCAGACAGACACGCACGATCTGGCTGGCTGGGGTTTCTTAGCTGGCAGCTAACAGCGCCGGAAAGCACGAAGCTGATTGTTGCACTTGCGGCCCCCGGGGCGTATACGTCATGCGGCTTGTCGGCATGTTATATCCATGACAGCGGGACAACGGAACAGCGGAACAGAAACAATGTTGAATTCCATCTAATGCACTCACAGATAAGACCGAAACACGTCAATCTGAGCGTGTAGCCCCACAGATGCTGCAGATTTAAGACGATGATATATATAGACTGAATATTTGTATATATATATTTATATATCATCGTCTGGAATTTGTCTTATTTATTATTTATTGTCTTATTTATTATTTATTTATTATATATATTTGTCTTTATTATTTATTATTTATTTTTATTTAATATTAAAATTCAACTTGGCTCTTCTTAGTTGAGTAACTATAGAGTGGAAAACTCATAGAGTGGATTCAAGCATCTTCCACTGATGTGACGAATTCATTTGTCTGAATGCCAATCGTGACTGCTTGCGCGTAAAGTCAAGCTCGCCTAAAACGACAGCTGAACTGGACTGCAGGCGAAGTTTAGCGGCCTCGCCCGGGCTTGCAAATGCGGCGCAAATCAAATTGGTCGCCAAATGTTGGCTGGCCTGCGTCAAAGCCATCCATCAAGGACGACAGCTTTAGGCGGACGCAACTTTCCATGAAATTGGCTGCGAGCTGCCGTTGCGAGAGACTGAGACCCGCCACTTGAGACTTAATAAACTGCGCAGACACAAATACACAAGCAGCAAAAAAAAAAATGACAGCAGGATAAACAGCAAAAATGTGCATGTAAATAAATAAATGCTTAACTCTTTCAAAGCCTGCTAAAAAAGGAATATTGTGTGTGGCGGCGGGTGTGAGTAGCGTGCGGCACATACTTATAACGAGTATTTGCCCCAAATGCCCCAGCGGCATTAACATCAATTCATCATCACAGTGCGGCGCAGCAGTATGCGCACAGCAGTTTGTTTAATTTTTGGCAACAAAAAGTGCCGCACGTCAAAGGGCCGCAGGCGAAAAGAGGGAAGCGTGATTGAGTAGAAAGTATACGACTTGCAGATATCCTAACTACAGCGTGTAGTTGAGTTAAAAGACATTTTGTAAAATGTATACGACTGGAAAATATCCTAACTAGAGCGTGAAGTTGACTTAAAAGACATTTAGCAGAAAGTATACGACTGGAAAATACCCTAACTAAAGCGTAAAGTTAATTTAAAAGACATTTGGCCATAGCAGACATTAAGTTCTTATCGATTGAAGGTAAGCGTAATAGAGTAAAATGTATACGACTAGCGGGGCTGGAGCTTGAAGCTATGCTACAAGCCATTTTGAAGAAAGTATTCGACCAGCAGATACCCCAACTAAGGCGTGTAGGGATTTAATAGGAATGTAGTCTAAGCAGACTCTTCTTCTTGAAGAAAAGAAAGAGAAGGCATAGAGTGGAAGGTAACGACGAGCTTGACCTGAACTGTGAAGCAAAGTTGCTTTGAATAATATTAAGTATAACTTAATATGCATCAAATTAATATAATTGAGTTCATTACACTCAGCAAGTCAGTTTCTATTAAACTACGCCACTTAATAGTCTATTATGGAAAAGATTCTAAACTATGTGTGTGCAAAATAATGCAAATTCTTACATATTTCAAGGGGAACTAGAGACAAGTACCTAAAAAATGAAATTCCATTAAGATTCATAAGACAAGGCTAATCAAGCAGCTATGTAACAAGTGAAGTCTTCAAGTAATTGCTACAGAAACTAGTTGGAAAATCGATATATATCGATGTTAAGAAAATGCCAGTTTGATTGTCAGCAGATAAAATCAACAAATTAAGCAATTGAAAATGTTAAAAAATTCTTATAGAATTTTATAATATTCACAGACTTCCCATAAGAAGTGTGTATCAAAACAGGGTATCTCTAAGAGGGAAATGCCTTGTGCTGCCCGTAGCTGTGCTGATATATACGCTCTGTACATCAAGTCAACCAGTTGGGCTTAAATCCAGACGCCGCGTCGCAAATGCAGCCAAAAGCAACCAGCGGTTCACGTCGCCAACATGACCACAGTCCATGTTGTTGTTGTTGTTGTTGTCGTTGTTGTTGTTGTCGATGCGGGTTGCTCATATGCACAGGCTTTAAATACTGCTTGGCTTTTTTTCTCTCTCATATTTTGTGTGTGTGTTTTTTTTGTGTGTAGCCTCCGGCCTTGTTGTTGTTGTTATTGTTGCTGCGGCTGCGGCTGCGGCTGGCGCTTTCTAAACAAGCGGGTAAAACACCATGAGTCAAATAAATTACCCCAGCATTGTTGTTGGCAAATTTTTGATGGTTTAATTTTGTGGAAAATAAGTTGAGCCGCTGCTGCCTCTGCTGCTGCGACCATATACACACACACACACACTCAGACACATGAGCAAATAAGTCATATGGCGCGTTTTGGGGCCGTACTGCGCTGCGTATACGCAATAAAATAAACGCGCCGCAGTTACATTTTTGCGCGCTGTTCGCAGCTACGCGGCGCACATTTTATGCCGCATTGCCAGCTTTATTTATTTATTTTTATTTGCCCAGCGCCCTTTTATTCATGCATTTATAAATTATTGCTGCCCACCCTCCCCCTCCGCACCCTAAGCATGTACTTATGTATTTGTGTTTGCGTATTTATATTCGCCGGCGTGTGTATGTCACTTGAAGTGCTTTGCATTTTCAATTTGCAGCCGCACCTCCTGCTCGAAAGAAAAAAGGCACAACATTGCATATTTATATTAAAAATTTATGATCTAATGAGCTCAGCTCGGCACACGGCTGTAAAGAGCCTGTCAAATAAATTAACCAGCTGTTTCGAAATTGACTTGCTTTAAATTTAAATCTGTTGTAAGTCAAGTCAAGCACTTAACTTTGAACTGCCTGTCCTTGTAATATGCTTATATGAAGTGCTGCACTTGAGTTGTCATTACCCTCCATTAAAGACGACTTCAAATGAAAGGCGCTGCCGTCTCCCAGCGCTACCAGCAGCCTTAGTAGCAGCTACTTTAGGCCTGAGTTCATCGTGCTGCTATTTTGGGCGCTGTCAGTTTTTCTTTCCTATTACATTTGATCAATAATGCTTTGGCTTTAAGCAAATATATGCTGTTTGCCAACTCATATTCAGCATCATCATCATCATCATCAACGTAATCGACATGATGATCACGCGTAACCATCAACTTGATGCTACCCCTGTGACATTGTCAAAAGGGTTTAAGTGCCAGCTCTTGAGCAACGAACAACCAGCAGCAGCAGCAGCAGCAGCAACAGTAGCAGCAGCTGACAGTCATCCCCTTATTGCTAGACAAATATTCAGGCAAAAGGTTTGCTTTGAGCGCTGCGAGAACGTGACGAGCAACTTGTACCCTCAACTGTATAATCTTTAAGCAATGATACGCTCAGCTTTAAGACCTGCTTCAATTTATTATACATAAATTTTCCATTGATTTGTGTGGGCATAGGAAATTAGCTGGCAAATGAAAGTTGATAAAAATAGAAGAAGGAAAATATTGATTTAATATTCACATTTAAATATTACAAAAATTCATTTATAATATAGAAAATAAAAAATATTAATTGTCTTTGTATTCCAAATTTAATAAATACTGTGAAAATGTATATTAAATTGTAATAAATTTTATGCCTTTTAATTTTCTATCATTTTTCATTTCTATGAAACTTCTTTAATGAAAATTTAATTAAATGCTGAGCTCACTATTAGTTAAGTCAAAGTGGAGAATATAGTAGAGACTACAGTAGAGACTAAAGTGCTTGTGATGATATTGCACATCTAGAGCTAGAAGGCTTGCAGCTTTAAGATTAAACTGGGTTAGCAACTGGTTCCAAATTGGAAAGTTTGAAAGGCAGCCCAAGAGAACGGAGGGTGTTTAGTTGGTAAACAGAAAATGCAGTGCGACACAACGGCCTGAGTGACAGCCTCATTGACTGATAAAGCACAATAATTAAAATACTTAATTATTATTATAAAATTGATGTGTTCAAATAGTAGTGATGCCAATACTAATACACTTGCTGCACTTTTGTACTAATACTAACTAATAAAAATACAAATTATAAAAATAACAATAATGTCTAGAATGATCGAAATATACATCACTCTAATAATAATTAAAATATTGGTAATAAAATATAATTAATATTACTTATTATAATGTTACTCAAAATTTTAGTTTTTTTAATTTTAATTATTAATTAATAATATTATTAATTAATAATATATAATTAATTATTGTAGTAAAAATAAAAAATATTTAATAAAATCGTTAATTTCAATTTTTATATTAAAGATAATCAATACTAAAAATATTTAATAAATCAACATAGATTATTTTAATACTTATA